AAATGAAGGCTACATAGTTTTGCCTTTTGTTTTTTCAGTCATGTGACCAAGTTCAGGCTAAGATGATGTGAATGGAAGGGATATGTACAATTTCTGGGACAAACCCTTAAATGAAGAGACAGGTCCTCCATACTTTCTTCCCCTCCACCCTTCTGGCTTGAACACTGACCCAGTGTTGTTGTCGTGACTACACAGAGCAGAACATCACTGGATGGACCACAGACCAGATGTTTGAGAACACCGCTGTAGGGGTCAGTGGAGCAATGATAGAGTCTCAGCTCTGAATACGTGAAGCAAGCATTTCAGCCGAAGACTGCATATATTCTTTAATTGTCACATGAATGATAATTTGTCTATCTGTTTTTAGCCACTGAAATCTCTCTTCCAGCAAGTTAACGTATTTGCTCCTAGTCTAGTTCTTCTCCTCTTCATTTCCCTTACCATAAAGCTTTTCCATCTCAGTTTGTATCATCAATCACTCAGTTAGTTGCTCAAGCCCTAAACTAGATGTCATTCATGTTTTCTATCTTCCCTTTCATTCACTGCCAAGCTGTCAATGTGGTCTATTGGCTTCACCTCCAAAATATACCCCAAATCTGCCCTGTTTTTATAATCCACACTACCACAACCTTAGTCAAAGCCACTAGTATCTCTTATCTGGACTCCAGTGGCTAATTACCTTCCTGCCTTTCTTCTTGATGCACAGTTTGTCTTTCCATGTAGCAGCTAGAGTGAGATTATAAAATCATAAATTAAGATCTTACATCTCCCCGCTTTGCCCCAGTGGCTTTTATATATGTAATAAGATCCAAGTCCTTATTTTGGATTCTAAGATCATACAAGATAATAGATCTTAGACATCTGATTTCATTTTGTACAGGTCTTCCTTAACCTGGTATCTTGAAAATGCCAAGTCTATTTCAATCTCAAGGCCTTCATACTTCTTGTTTTTTCTCTTGGAAACTGCCCAGATCTTGGCATGGCTTATCATTCAAGTTTCAAATATCATCTTTTCAGAAAGCTATGATTTATTTTAACATCTTTTTAGTAATTAGCAGTCCCTGAAATAATCTTAAATCTTATTTGTTAGCTTTTGAATTTGTCCACTGTAAATAGAATATAAACTTCTTGAGGGCAGGGACTAAAAATAAATGACCTTACTACCACCACAGAAATTTTCTGAGGACCAGAAATTTTAGGTATGTGAAGAATGCATATCCTAGTAACGTAATTTTGATCCAATTCCCTGAAAATTAATAATCCCACTTATATTCCTTTTATATGGTGGTGGTGGTTTTTGTTTTCTTGGCTTTTTTTTCTCCTTTTTAACATAGAGCCTTCACATTAACTGAATGAGCTTCTGTTAGAGCCATCCATGAAGGATGACATCTCCCTTCCTCACCTCCACGAGAAAAAAAATAGACAAAATATAAAGCATTATTTTTAGGCATCAGGAAAAAGTGTGACTAGTGCTATTAAAAATATTTCTACTGCAGAAGAATTCAGGGTTTCAGTTAAATCCCTGCCTATACATATAAGTCAGTTAGTGTGGAAATATTTTTGTTTTTGTTTTGCTTTTCATCTCTAGAACTAAACACAAGGTTTAGCATTCTTTATGGTCACTGAGTCTCACCTTCAGCTGCTACTGAAATCACCTGTAGATGCTTAGGCCATACCAAGGACCGCCATACCAGAATCTCTGAGGTGTGGGGCCAAGATGTCAGTAGTCTGTAAAGTTATCCAGGTGAGTGCAATATGTAGCCAAAGCTGAGAACTATTAGTCTATTTGCTCTAGCTTCTCTTGCAATGGATTTATTAATTTACTAGTCAAAATTTATTTGCTTTCCAGTTTACCTTCCAAGGATTTAAAATCTTGATTGGAAACTTTTTTTCGACTAAAGTATAGTTGATGTACAATCTTATATTGGTTTCAAGGAAATTATGACATTTAATATTTTAATCTTTAATGTTTATGATTCATATGCAAGGCTCTGACCTAAAGGTGCCATTGTCCATTTCTGGTAGGGTGAATTTCTTCCAATGGGAATTCAGTGGAAATTTTAAACCTATACTTTCTATAGGTTTTGCAAAGGGAGTGTGTGTGTGTTGGATAGTGAAGGCCTTTACATAACACTATTTATTTAGGACTTTACAAAGCATTTTTACAAGCATTTCATTCTCATTTCAGCTTTCTGTAAAGTACTGCTCTGAATTAACTGGGCTGTCCAAGGGTCACATAATTTGTGTTCCTTAGTTTAGGCACAGGCTGCTTGACATGACATGTTAGTCTTTCACTTATTGAAAACTAATACATATACAATTTCATACTGCAATACAGGAACATATTACAACATATTGAATACAAAGTAAAAGAGATGCCCAAAAATGTGCTACTCTTTTCACTAAATTTTCATTTTGGAAAATGTTTTTTTCATAAAAAATATTTGTATTGACATGTATTGAATTGTTATTTTAAAATAATACTTTAAAATGTTGTTTTAATTTTGGACACAGTAAACATTAATAGATATAACCCATATAAAAAGAAGTTCTTTGGGGTCCCAAAACCAGAAAGTTTGAGAATCACTATAAGCAATTATATATGCTGTAGCCTCTGGCATAATTTCTTGTTATGAGAAAAGTAAAAGCTGAATGAATTGTTTACCTTAACATTATGCTTGGCTCACACAAAGCTACTTTAGCTTTTTTTTCCCTCCTACAGCTAAACACTACTGACAATACTATTTTTATTGCATATAAGATTGCTACAGTAAAAATGGAAGTTTGAAAAACTGGATGAAAATTACAGAATAAGTGATTAAAAACACCAATTATCAGCTGTCTTTTTTCAACAAAACACCCTTTGAATATCTCTAATGTTTTTAGAGAATAGCATCAGAAACTATTGATCCAGGAAAGCACAGGGAATCAAACTTAATTGTTGCCTATTTATGTGACTCTGAGTTCTTAAAATAGTTACAGAATTAAAAAAAATTACTGGATGTTGTGGAGGGGGAGAAGTATTAGCCCTACCCATTCTTTAGTGGAGAAATTGTAATTTTCAATATTACTTTATTTAAACCAACTATAATTTGAAATACTACTTTTATTTTCTGCTTTAGCTTTGGCTACCAGAATCATGCTTGAAGCTTTAGATTACCAGCTTTCAGCAGATCGTTGCTAGTCAAACTCTGGGAAAGTAAGAGGATGTGTCAGAAGTGCAATGTGAGACAAAACAGAGTAAAACGTAGTCTGTTAAGAAAAGGTTGTTAGATAAAATTGAAGGCTAAGGACATAGCAAGGATGTAAATCTTAACCCATTTGTTGGGGATGTAGGCTCTGGTGTCAGATTTATATCTGTTCTGTATGTTGTAACCACAAAATTGTTCTTGCTGAATTAATTGTAAGGAATCTTCTTTAAGGTATCCAGACTTCCAAAGTTTAATGTTTACATACTGATTAATTGTAAGGGAAAGCTGCGTTCAGGCCAGGACCATAACGCTTTTGTATATAAAGTGCTTCTTCCTGTGGCACTGAATGAATGAGTGACTATATAACACATTCATTTCTTTAAAAACATAGGAGACTTATTCTATAATCTTGAATCTCCTGTGTGGAATTTGTGGTCTTTATTTTTGCTCAGTTTTTCAAAACAAATAGAAACAATGCCATTCAAATCCATTAAATGAGACACAGCATGAGTGTCTGAGGTTATGAGCAGTTCAGGACCAGATATTTAAGTAAAGTCTCTGTTACTGCAAGAATTGTAAATAATTTTCTCATTCCTAAATTTCCTAGAAATAAGCGGAGCTTTGTATAATGGGATAGTATTTGATAGGGAAGTTGCTTTATTCTTAAAACTACACACATAATTCTATACCCCTGGCATTTTCCCTGCCTTCCAGATATCTCCCACCTACCTTTCAAAAGACATCTTAATTTTGCATCTGATTATTTAAAATGGCTTCTGTAATCTAATCCTGAGTAACATTCATTTTAAAGCATTAACAGTTAAGCAATAGACAAATATAAACACTTGTTGAAATGTTTATTGAACCACAAAGTCCATTTGTTTGAGAAATGATGGGCAAAATTAAGTTCCCCATGGGAAAAGATCACATTAATAACTCCAGTTTAAAAAAAATCTGAGCATGAGAAATAATCATGGTTGGTGTTTCTGGAACATTTTGGGGTTGGGGGGGAAACCAACTCCATACATTGAGATTTCAAACTGAGAAAACCATCAGATGAAATGGCAGTTTTTCAAAACAAATAGAAACAATGCCATTCAAATCCATTAAATGAGACACAGCATGTCTCATTTAATAGAATTTCATTTTCTGGGAGAGAAACTAGTATTGCAGTCATTTAATGAAAACTAATTATACTGGGGATTCAGATATTCACTGACATATACATAATAAATTTTAGATTTAAATCATTCACTATCTCCAGGAAATTGTTTTTCACAAATTTTGCCATTTCTAAATAATACTTAAGTATCACACAAACACTGACATCATAATCATGCCAGAGCAATTTTATGCCTTCTACATGTATATGGGTATTAATAATCTTTAATATATGGATGCATTCCAGGTCACAGAGCAAAGGCAGATTTTCACTTTTGTGTTTTCAGTACAGTTACATGTCTAGCTCCTTTTGGGTAACACGTCTTTTCAAATAACTAACATTATTAGATATTATTTCCTTAAAGCAAATATCTATTAACCCTGTATTTCAGGAAGAAATAAAAAATAATAATGAAAGAAATGTAACTGCAATCTAATTTCCTAGAGATTCTTAGAACCCTCACTTCTGAATACTGGCCTCATACTGCTATTGTATAAATATTTTTCTTATAACATAGAAGTTTTCTTTGGAGAATGTCTTGAGTTAGGTTATGGTAAAAAGCCTTATAAACTATTCAATAAAGGATGTTAACATTTTACTAAGCAAAAAATGCCTGCTTCTTTTCCCACAAAAGCCAAACAGAAAACGAGTTTTACTAACATTTTCTATTTATTCTTTAATAAAAAGTGCATAGTACAAGCCCTTTACCCCAATCCAAGTACTCATTAATAGATTACAATAAACCCTGGATGGCACAGACATGATTTGTTTGGCATGATCAAACATTTAAAAACAGCAATTAAGATTTAATATATCACATGACCCATTTTGCTTTTAACAAAGTAATCATCAGATATGGTGACACATACATATAACTTTTCAATTAGAAATATTATGTTAAGACTAAACGTACTATTGCAACAACAAAAATTTAACCCACTAACTGTAAACTCTCTTCATTTCTCCTCCAAGTTGCTGTTTTTTGTCTTAAGCTGAGCTGGTCAAATTTTAGCACATACTCATTTAGAGTGACAGACTTTCATTCAGAGTGATATATTTCCAAGGTTCCTTTGAAAATTAAGAATTTTTTAATTTCATAAACACTATCACATGACATACCACAAAGACACTAAAAGTAACCATGGAATAGCTGAACTTAATAGCTTACTTTGGAAAATCTCTGCAAGCTGTTTAAAATATAACCTGCTGAGTTTGGAATGGTGCTTGGATAGGTACATGATAAAATCTTTTACTATATACAGTTCCAATGTTAACTTTTTCTATATGGAAAGCAAAAACAAATTATTTTGCTTAAAACAACATTAAATTACTCTAAACCAAAATGAACTCTTAATGGTATTTGCAGAATATTTAAAAGCCAAAGTGATTAAAATGTGAAACTTTATCTCTCGTTTTTCCAGATTATTGAAAAATGATTGTAGTCACAGTTCAGGTGAATGTTTACAGGCCAAATAATGAATAAGAGTGTGCTCAATAAGAAGGCCACATGTAGAAGCTTTAAGAATTAAATAGAATGATATAAATTACTTGTTAGGTTGATAGGAATCCTTTATATGCAGTAATACACTGTCTTTTTCAGGAATGCAAAGAATTTTAGAGGTAACTGAAGACTAAATATTTCACTAATAAATTTTATTACTAATTAAATAGATGGTCCATATAGAAAAAGGTTAGTATTCTAGATGTAATGTCAATTAAGTGTATGTGACAGAAGTGAAGAACTAAGAATAAGAATTTCCAGAATAAGATTTCCAGGTCTCTAGCTAACACCGGACATTCTGTTTCTATGACACAGCCACATCTTCAACCAAAGCCAATCCTCAATTATTTGTGAACTGTAGATTCAGTGAGTACATCAGTATCTCTGCTAGACACCAGCTTTCTAGCAGCTTAGGAAATAAACTGCTAGGATGTATGTGCAAGTCTTCAAAATTCAGGAGGCAAGAGCAGAAAAAGGAATGCTTATAGGCATTTAGCTACATTTTATGCCATTTCTACCCTTTCTGCTTTAAATAGCTATAGAGTTGCGAAGGCTTCCAGTAGGACACGGCAAGAGAAAAAACCTTAAATTTGTGGTGTTCATTTATCCAGATTTGACTTATGTGTGTTATGATATCCCTCAATTAGCACGAGTAATTAACAGTAGGTTATATTATTTCAAGAAGTTGATTACAAAGCCAAGATGCACAGGAGGAATCTAAGCAGTCAATAGTGTATTATATGATGAAATGAAGCCCTTATAATGTTTATGGCCTAGAATGTAACCATAATAAAGGGGGGAAAATACTCTAAGAGCATCACACAATTCTATCAGAGACTCTATTAAACAGTACAAAGATAAAGAGAAGTTTACTTGATTCATACAATTTCTCAGATTGATACAGTGAAAAGCTAGACTGATCTAAGATGAAAAAATCCTTACATTGATAGAAAAAAACTTCTAGTACCACAGGTCATTTTTAATCACTTCCTAAGAAAAAATTCTATAATCACAAAAGTCATGCAGACTTTCTAAAAATGCCATTTCTATGAATTTTCTTTCAAACTGGGCAAAACAATGCAGTCTTCTACTTTTTGTACATTTCAAAATTTTTACTTATATTAATGCTTCTCTCTACCCTGATTCATCCCATTCCCAAACAAGAATGAGATGAGGGAAGAAAAAGATCTGATTGCTTATCATTTTCCTCCTTTTCCCGTCTTGTAAATTAAGAAGGATAACAAAAGACTCAAATTTTTTTCTTGTAAGAAAAAAAAAGAGCAAGTAAGCATTCAAATGTCAGCAACCAAACAAGACCCCAATGCAACTTTAAGATAGTTTCACTTAACAGGAAAGTGTTAGAACAGAAAAGCAGCTTCCTGAGAGGCACCCATTCAAAAAATAAATTATAACTTAAATTATTTCTGTATAGATTATATCTGGCAAAGGCAGAAAGAATTAATTTTTTTCCTCCTTTCATGAACCTTGTAAGGCTAGTGCAGTGGCTTACAAATGTCACATAATGGACTATAAATCATCTACCATATTTAAATCATGTTTATTTAAAGTTTTCTTAATATTAGATATTTTTATGGGAATAAAAAACATTCACTAAGTAATTATTTCATTTTGTCTCTCCTGCTTTTCTAGTCACATAAGCCAGCTATGGTGGATGACAGATTTCAGCTATAACTTATAAAATATTCCAAAGGCTGCCACAGTCCCAAGAACTAGAGAAAATTGCCACCCACAAATGAACTACCAAAGCAAATGTAAATATAGCTCAAGTGACTTTTTAAATTGTGAAAAGAGCAATTTTAAAACCTACAAAACTATTTAAAATATTTAAATGCAGAGATCTCAGGTTTTCTTCAATCAGGCCAGAAATCACAAAAATTATGATCACAGTTAACAAATAGAATGAGTGGAATGTTTACATTTAGGATAACTAAAAAAGCCCATGTAACTTTTAAAAATATAATCATTAACTCAAGTATACCATGAAAAGGAATGGTGGTAACACAGGAAGCAAAAATAAGCTTGCAAGTGAAATTTTTAGAAGCTCATGAAAACTATACCATCCCATTTTGCAGATGCAAAAAGAAAACACTTCTAATCGGGTTAAGAGTACTCGGGTTATCTTCGTTCATTTGGTCGTGCAAGGTGTTAACTATTGTCACTTCCTGTATCACAAAGTTAGTCCACAGGAGGGGCTGGTGGATCTTGTCCCTGGCATTAGAAAGAAAGAAATTATGGAATAAATTTCTTAAGTCTCATGGCAACCAATTTAACACACATAGTAAGAACTGAGCATGCCCCCCCCAAATCCCAAATCATTTATTTGACCTTCTCATGTTTTTACACAAGAGAGCACTAGATTAACACTGTGATTCACCAACATTTGTCTCATTCTTCCCTGTGGTATGGAAAAGAGGAAATTTGTGTAACAGTAATATGATTTGGGTGAAACTGCTCTCCCTGACAGTGCCAGAGGTGGTATTTCAATAATAAAGGTAGTCTCATTCATCTTGCTAACGTGACTGAGTCCAGTCCAGTCCAAGTGAAGCTGGAGACTTGTTTTTCACCACAGAATGCCAACGAGGAAGCATGTGGCTCTGGCTGCTATTGGCAGCCATCCTATGATCACAGAAGGAGCCGACCTTAGTATGTTTTCTTGCTTATGCCTAGGGCAGTGGGACTATTACCCTAGTGCAAACCCCACTGCAGTCACTGTCCATCAAAGTAGTAAGATGCTGTAGAATCACTACCTGCCCTCTCCGTGATGTACAGCCTTCCCCGTGCCCCACCCCCCCACATTATGCATGCTAATCATAATGCCCCCTTTCTTTTTCCTCCCCCTTATCCCTCCCTTCCCACCCATCCTCCTTCCAAGGTCTGAGGTGGTATGAGGAAAGAAACTGGGTCTTGGATAACAGTGTTAAACTTCCTAAACCCTCACCCAAGCTCTGGATTTACTGATTTATAAACCAATAAATCCAGCTTGCAATAGAGAGTGCCTGAATTGTAAAGGAAAGATCAGAGCTTTTAGGAATCTTCAGGGGGATTCCATTTATTTTTACTCCAACATGCTATATGAGGCCCCACTGAGGATGACCGATCTTTCTGCTTGGAATTAGTATGTTTTCTTGCTTATACCTAGGGCAGTGGGACTATTACCCTAGAACTGCTGGCCTACAATGAACCAAGGTTCACGGGACTCTATGTTTCTGTACTTTTAATGGCTTCTAAGTCAGCTCATTAGGTTCGATTTCTTTAACTCCACACATTGAAGACGTTGCTCTTTGATATGAAAGTAATAGAGCTATATACAAAGAAAGAAAAAAGGCTAAGTCTTGACTTTATCAAGACAATATACAAGCTTTATGTATACCCCCATCCAAGAAAAAACAAAAATAAATGTAAGGCTTGTTAATAGTGCTAATGATACCTTCTTTCATTTAGCATGCTACATACCTAAATGTTCTACTCCTAAAAAAAGCCAAAGCACTGACCAATTAACATTGCACATTTGCTTTCTCCTATGTAAGAAGCTAGGCTAACTGAACACTTTTCTTATATTAACAATACAAGTTATGGAAAAGTAGCAATTATTTAGGGAATTTCACAAGTTGGAGGCGTAGTAGGATAATTTGGTGTTAAACAAGTAAACCTATAATGGAAATATTTTTAAAGAGATCATACCCAAAACAAATGGAAAAGAAAAAGTATATAAATACTGGTTCTGGAAATGATTAAAAAAGAAATAATTTAATGGAAGTTCTATTAAAGAAGTACTGAAAACTCCCTATAGGGTCACTTTATCATATTTTTATTAAGAAAGTTCTAAAAATAGTTGTAATCATGACTATCAAGATTTATCAACATGAATGATTCCTACCTCTCCTTTTGCCAGCTTGGATGATCTACTGTGATGCAGAACTGGAAGAATGAATTTGGGAGAAATAGGTTGGGAAAACAGAATTTAGGCAGACAGGCAGGCTCATGTCTCTACTGTATTTAATAGTTGGGGTGAGGAAAGGGAGAAAATGAAGTTGTGGGAGGAATTCTAAATTATAGCTAGTAAAAGAATTTGGGGAACTGGAAGTATGAGAGACAAGGGATCAACTCTGAGGTGGGCAGAACTGGGGAACTGGGTAGTGAGCTTTGAGAAATACTGCTGTGGATTATTATGAATTAGATCTTTTTTTTTCATGTTTACCAGTTTTATTTTGGTATCATTAATCTACAATTACGTGAGGAACATTATGTTTTCTAGACTTCCCCCATCACCAAATCCCCTCCACAAACCCTACTGCAGTCACTGTCCATCCGTGTAGTAAGATGCTGTAGAATCACTACCTGCCTTCTCTGTGATGTACAGCCCTCCCGTGCACCCCCCCCACACATTATGCACACTAATCATAATGCCCCTTTCTTTTTCCCCCCCTTTATCCCTCCCTTCCCACCCATCCTCCCCAGTCCCTTTCCCTTTAGTAACTGTTAGTCCATTCTTGGGTTCTGTGAGTCTGCTGCTGTTTTGCTCCTTCAGTTTTTCCTTTGTTCTTATACTCCACAGATGAGTGAAATCATATGATAACTTGTCTTTCTCCGCCTGGCTTATTTCACTGAGCATAATACCCTCTAGCTCCATCCATGATGTTGCAAATGGTAGGATCTGTTTTCTTCTTATGGCTGAATAATATTCCATTGTGTATATGTACCACATCTTCTTTATCCACTCATCTACTGATGGACATTTAGGTTGCTTCCATTTCTTGGCTATTGTAAATAGTGCTGCGATAAACATAGGGGTGCATCTGTCCTTTTCAAACTGGGCTGCTGCATTCTTAGGGTAAATTCCTGGGAGTGGAATTCCTGGGTCAAATGGTATTTCTACTTTGAGTTTTTTGAGGAACGTCCATACTGCTTTCCACAATGGTTGAACTAGTTTACATTCCCACCAGCAGAGTAGGAGGGTTCCCCTTTCTCCACATCCTCACCAACATTTGTTGTTTGTCTTTTGGATGTTGGCCATCCTAACTAATGTAAGGTGATATCTCATTGTGGTTTTAATTTGCATTTCTCTGATGATTAGCGATGTGGAGCATCTTTTCATGTGCCTGTTGGCCATCTGAATTTCTTCTTTGAAGAAGTGTCTGTTCAGCTAATGTGCCCATTTTTTAATTGGGTTATTTGCTTATTGTTTGTTGAGCTGCATGGGCTCTTTATATATTTTGGATGTCAACCCTTTATCGGATCTGTCATTTATGAACATATTCTCCGATACTGTAGGATGCCTTTTTGTTCTATTGGTGGTGTCCTTTGCTGTACAGAAGCTTTTCAGCTTGATGTAATCACAGTTGTTCATTTTTGCTTTTGTTTCCCTTGCCCGGTAAGATATGTTCATGAAGAAGTCGCTCATGTTTATGTCCAAGAGATTTTTGCCTGTTTTTTTCTGAGAGTTTTATGGTTTCATGGCTTACTGAACTATATCATTTTTTTATGTTTCTCATGTGAGTAAAGATTTTGGGCTTCTGGTTTGTACTTTCTATACGTCACTCTACAAAAACTAAGCCACTTGGGCTTGCAAGATTTACTAGGACTACAAAAGAAGAACTTACCCCATGAGTTAACTTTCCTTTTGCTAATTCAGATATTTCAGTCAAAACAAACTCTTGCCCCTTTTCAGGCAACTCCTGTCTTCCCACCCAAATGGATTTCTAATACAGAACACTTACATTATGGGGACTTGTTGGCTTTCCAGTTAGGTTGGATCCTCTTAGATTAGGAGGTCTCAGTAGAAACAAGATCACTGCAATAACCATCCAGGCCATTAAGATCATGGTAATATTCATGCCATTATCACCAGAGGGTCCTGGTACTGAGGACAAACAAAAATGTATTTGCAACTAGAAATGTAGCATGATTATAATAGTATTGTTAGATAAACGTAAAAGCAAATTCTAATGTTTAAATGTCAACTTCAAATACTGTATTAATATCAAAATTTTATTAAGAATTTTAAAAAGTACAATTATGAGAAAATTTCCTCTTGTGAGAAAATCAAAATGATAAATGGTATGGAATAGTTGTAGGACAAAGCTTATTAATAAATATTTTAATATTTTTGGATAATAGAATTCTTTGAGAATTTGATAAAAATTAAGGACTCTTTACCATAGGAAATACATGTATATACATTCAATTCTGGATATAATTGTGGAAGGTTCATGGATCCACAAAGCCATAAATCCATAGATAAATTGAGATGTACAGAACCCAGGTTAAGACCACCTGTATACAGTAAAGACACTTTACTTTGGGGGTGGGGGGATTCTGTATTTTAATTATAGAAGTAACATGAAAAAATAACAGAACTTAAGGAAAAGGGAGTATCTGTGTTGTACAATATATAAAGATCACTGTACTGATATTCTCAAACAAAAATATATTAAAATTTGGCCTCTTTTACAAAAAGAAGTTGGATTCAGATCTAGATATTTTAAAGTCTATGCATTTATCAAGAGAAAAAAGTCAGGTGTGTATGTTGTCTTTCCAAACTCCTTCAGGAAGCCATCTCTTACTTAATTCAGATTAAAAAGTGCCTACCTAGCACAGTGCCTGGGCCATGGTATGAGCTTAACAAATTTCCAATAAAAGAAACAGATTTTTATTCAAGTATATTAGAAAATTCAATGATCAGAAATGAAAATTAAAGATTAGATTTCTAAAGAAAAACATAGTTTCTCTAGATGGTTACTAAAATAGCCCATCAGACTCTTGACTGGTTTTGGTCTCACTGCCTCAGGAAAAAGTAAAAGAAATTCAAAGAAGATGTTGAAACCAAGCCAGTACACTGCACGGGGGGTCCATGGGCCCAGGGCTCACTCCCAAGAAAGGAAAGGGTTGATTCACAGACACAGAGAACAGACTAGTGGCTGCTATTGAAGAGGGAAGTGGGAGTAAGGAAGAAATAAGTGAGGGGGGAGGAAACTTAGTAAGAATGTTTGATATCTTAATCTGTGTGCTGATTACATGAGTGTATGTACATGTCAAAATTCATCAAGCTGTATGCTAAGATCTGTGCATTTTATTGTATGTGCCTCATAAATAAATAAATAGGGAGGTTGAAAAAAATTAAAAAAAAAAAAATGAAGAGGAGGAAAAAAGAAAGGAGAGGGATGGGTGGCAATACTGAAGCTAAAAGGTTAAGTGACCAAAGAGGACAAAGTCAAGCAAAGAGCTGAGCTGGCCCAAAAGCAGGCTGGACAGGAATGAAGCCTCTGTTCCAACCCCAATCACTTCCCCAGAACTCAGGGTCCCCAGAATTGCATCCACAAAATGCACCAGCATTTTTTTTCTGTATATATATCTATTCCTTTTCTTGTTTCCTCCTATTATACTAAATATGCCTCCCTTGATAAACAAGGAGCTGGAGCTTTGGATCCCATTGCTCTATCAGAGATCTATCCATTATCCTCTCTCTTGTGTATTCAATACCCGCTTCTCCATTGTAGCCATCCCACAGTCACTTAAACATGATCAAATTTCTCCCATCTTTGGGAGGGAAAAAAATCCTTCCCTCAACCCTTTCCCTGTCCAGAAATCAAAGTTAATTTAACATCTTGAAGTTGTTCACATTTATGTCTACATTTTACTACCTCCCATTCACTCCTCTGGTTGTTATCCACCCCCATCATCATTCAGAAGGCCACCTATGACATCTCTATGCTGGCAAGTCTAATGGGTAATCTTAGTCCTCACTTTCCATGATCACTCTCTCCTTTTCAAAACATGTTCTTTTGTCTTCTGTGCCATTACTTCTGCCTGATTTTCTTCCCAACACTTAGCCCGTCCTTTCCATGCTTATTTTCCTCTTATTGGCTTTTAAATTTTGGAATTCTTCACGGGCAGTCTTAGGTTCCCTTCTCTTCCTGCTCTATCATCCCCACCAGTGCCTTCATTTTACCTTCTGTATGAAGACCACACCTAAATTTGTACCCATCTCTGACTCCTCTGAACTTCAGACCCAAATATCCAAATATTTATCCACATCACTAGTTCTGTTTTAAAATCTTCACATCAACAGTTCTTAAACTGTGGTGTACATAAGAGTATTTGACAGCTTCTTAACAATGTTGGTACTTAACAACTTGCACTTAACATACTTAATATCGCAAACTAAAATGATGAGCATCTCCCACTGCCCTACCCTCCATGCCCCACCAAATTAAGATTCCCGAATTCATCAAGCTGCTTAAGCCAGAAACCTGTGAAATTATCTTTTGTTCTCTCAAATATTTAATCCACTATGAAGTTTCTCTCAATTTTACTTCCAAATATCATTAAAATCTGCCCACACTTGCTCACCCTATCATCACTTCTTGTCTGGTCTATTGTGATGGCCTCTTTCAACTCATCTCCCATACCCACTCTTGCCTCTTCTAATTTTGTGCTCCAGGAGTGACTTTTTTTTAAAAAGCAAATACCTATTATTTTTATTACCAAATAATACCTAAAATTTTAGTGGTTACTTTGAACCAGTCATTATCTCTCATAATCCTTTTAATGATCTTATTTTATGGCTGGAACTATAGTATCTTCATTTTATAGATGAAGAAATGGGGGGAAGGAGTTATATCATAATTTCTGAAAATATCAAAGAGTGAGACAGACCCCTGAAAATTATTAGTCCTAGTGGTAGGTAGTAAAATGAGGAAATACAGATTTAAAAAGGATTTTTGATAAATAAGTTTATAACTAGCTGTGAGGTAGAACTAGACTGTTTAAATTAAGTCAAAGAATGTTAACTGTGCCTTTTATATGCTGTCACTTCTTATAGTGCCAGACTCTCTCAAATAAATGCTAGATTAATTGTATAGACCAGAAGTGTAACACCAATACCAATTTCTATGTTATTCAATTTGGAAAGAGGGTCCTCTGGTTTTTCATAGTCTTTGCAAGTGAAAGATTCTTCAGGGAGTTAAACCTCAGTTCACAAATTTACTAATTCATATTTCTGGACAAAGCAACCCTGACAAATTGCTCACTACTATTTAAGAGTCTCATAGAGAAAATATGACTGTAGTTCACTGCAACTATCTCCTAGCGTGGTTCCTATTGCGGCCTTTCCTTTCTGCAGATTACAGCTAGAAAAGTCTGCAAAAAACACTGCTGCTGACCAACACAGTGACTCACTCTCCACTGCCTGCTGTTTCAATTCCGGACTCTTCAGCCTGGCCTTTCCTCATATGACTTAGCCCTACTCATCAATATTAATTCTTATTATTTCTCAGAGGAAAGCATACTCTACTTGAGTCAACCCCGTATCTTTTTTATTTTTTAGCCAGTGGTGTTCTGGCCTGCATATGCGTTAGAATAGCCTGCAACAATACCACCACCACAGACTGGAAGGCCCTGCCATCTAATTCAGAAGCAGCTCAGGAGTGGGGTTAGGAACCGACCATATTTTAAGAGCTTTCAAATGAACCTGATGCAATAGTCCAATGCTAGTTTGGCTGGTGGCATTTGCCAACTTTGCAAACTCAGTTCTTCTGGAGTATTCATTATTTTTCTTTGTCTAGCATGTTATTATAACTAATCTCCATGTATTCACCTATACTCTATATTCCTTTCTCTTCTGTAAAAGTCTCCATTTCTTCCTCTCTTTTCTTTCTTCACTGCAGTGGTGTAGCATTTCTTGTTTGTAGGAGTGGTTTCCTATTTCTCCTCTAAATTAGGTCTTTAATTTTGTAAGAACTGACACCATTTCATAGATGTCTGACTCCACCACCTCTAGTTAAGTAATCTCTGTACCTCAATTTCTTTACCTGTGAAATGGAAATATTACACCATTACATAGAGTCATTATGAGGATTGAAATGGTCAGTGCATGAAGAAGATCAGTTAGCACAGTGCCTGGTACACAAAAAGTGTTCAATAAATGTTAGTCATACCAGTATTAGGATCAACTAGAGGGCAGAAAAGCCTGAGTACTGATAGATACTTCCATAAATAACTAGGCTGGGTAATATGGTGAAATGGGATTGGAAAGGGTCAAATCCAAATGGTACTAGGATGGAAGAAAGAACACTTGGTGACTGACTGGACTGACAGCAGGAAAAGAGAGGAGGGAGAAAAAGATGGTAAGGATGCTCTAAAATTTCTGAAGGGTAGTGGTATGCAGGATTGTTTTACTTAAAAGGTTAAGTGGATAGTTTCCCTAACCTCCAAGTCTTATTAAAATCATTTCTTTATTCTCCAATAACTGAAGGCCCATCTCAGAATAAAGAATAATAGCTGAACCAATTAAAACTGAAACTCATGATCATAATCTTTTTCTGTTTCCAGCAGTTCCATAAAATTAAGATTAGTTCTAGAATATACTTTCACATGGGCATATAGTCTAAAGGTTATTAAGAAAAAACTAGAAACAAATCAAAATGTCTGCCAAGAGTGTCTGATTAATAAATTATGGTACATCTGTACAATGGAATGCTATGAAGCTATAAAAAATGCAGAGAGAAGCCTCCACGAGATATGCTATTTTTGACAATAAGAAAAAAGCAGATGAAGAACAGTGTGTACAAAGAGAGGGGGGCATACAAAGAGAGGGGGGCAAATAATGTATACTTTTGTTTATACATGCATAAAGATATTCTGGAAAGATACATCGAATAATACTTGGAGACAGCACCAGGGTAGATGGACAAATACAAATAAAGACAAATTTTCACTGTACACTTCTTGGTTTGTGAACTTTATGTAAAAAATTAACTAAACTGAATTAAACAAAAATGTTGCCCTAAAATATCTTGGAGTTGGAGATACTGGGTATCTGAATTGACTTAGATTTCTTGAAATATTCAGGAACAGGATGAA